ATTCTCACCACTGCATGGTCACTGCTCAGGGTCGAAGTGCTGCACAGTGGTTAGGGACTTCGTATGCTGCTCCAACTATGCCCTCAACAGTCAATAAAGTCCAAGTACGCCTGTCACAGTCAAGGGGACGAAGGCCAGGACGGGCTGGAGAGGCTCCGTGGGGACGCCCGGCTCTGGTGCGCTGCCCCAACCCAGCCCGGCTCGGCTCCCCTGTGACTGCGAGAAGCCCAACAGCGGGGCAGCTCCTGGTCCCGCGAGCCATTTCCTGCAGCGAGGGAGCAGTCAAGGGCCGGGAGACAAGGCCCCTCGGCGGACTGCGGGGACAAGTCCACCGAGGAAGTCTCGGGAAGCGCCATCTCTGCCGCGGGGATGACGGGACTGGGGTGTCTTGGCATCAGGGTGCAGTGGGAGGGGCTGGTGACCCCTGGCAAGACTGTGGCCATGACCCAACCCCGGATCACCAGCCGCAGCTCCACGGCGGGGCAGTGGCGGACGCTCTGCGGGGTTTCTCCAGGGTCCTGCCCACGGCCCGGGCACAGAGTCCGGGACTCTGCCCAGGAGCCTGCTCCCCACGTGCCTCTCCGCTGCTTCCGCCTGTCGCCACGTGAGCTCGTCCTGGCTCTACCTTGAGAAACTGGGATCAAGCATCTGACTGGACGTCGGGCCTGTGGTCCTGCCGGGGCTGCTCGGCTGGCGACTGTGCGCCTCTGCACGCTGGAGAGAGGGGGAACCTCCGCGTGTGGGCTCCTTCCTCCTCCCCTTCCTATCGCTATGGAAACATCCCGGGTGACACAGGGCAGGCAGGACACCAACAGCCGGGAGGCAGGATGCGGTGACAGGGCCGGACTCTCGCCTTTCCCAACAGAAACAGGCAAGGAGCAGATTTCCAGAGAGGCCCTGTGCACCTGCACGCCCAGCGCCCGAAGGACAGAGTCCCCGTCCATGCGGGACCTGGGAAAGGTGTTAGTGTTTCCGCAAACAGGCAGTGACCCGTTGTCATCCAGTGTAAAGAGCACAGGCCTGAGCCAACAAGAATCTCAGTTCCATCTCTTAGTTTGTATGACCCTCTCTGAGCCTGTCGACTCCTCTACGAACGAGATGAACGCCCAGGTGTGCCGCGAAGCCCCCCAGCCGCGGCCTTTCCTCCCAGTCTCGCCGAGACCTCCCTTCTCAGGCCCTCCCCACACTCTTGGCCGCAGCTAGGCGTCCACCACTGGGAACCCGTGACAACTCGTGAACTGGACGAGGGTGTGGCCATCTGGGATGATGCTGGGAAAGCCAAGCCAGCAGAAAGAATAAATACAAGACAGAGCAGACCACACACGAAGAGAAGCTGACAGACTGCAAAGCCCCGCGTCCAGGCCAAGCTCAGTTCCAATGGGATGCTGGCCCCATGCGGGTTCACCAGGTCCCTGTGCCCATCGGTGACCTTTAGATTTTGGAGTCGGCTGCCCTGAGCTGGCCTGTCCCTGGCAGGGACGCTGCGGAGCACCTCACGTGCCGGAGTCACGGAGCCGCCACGTACGCGGGGACGCAGCGAGGCCACCGGGGTATTGACTTCACGCCCATCAGACTAGCTACAGACTTCCCCGCACATGTCTAGGGCAACGGCGGGTGGACGCTTAAAACATCCACACCTCTCCCACTTTTCTGCTCGTCTTGCCCTCCTGACTCCTGGCAAAAGAATGACTGTGATGTTCCACCGAGGCTGAGAAGTAAAGCAACTTTGTTTATTTTTAAAAAGTTACATGGCTCCTCTGCACTAACCGTAACACTTCTAACACTTTAGTCTGCGAATAAATTCTGCCCTGCTTGGCTCATCCTCTCAGCGCGTGAAAGCTCGGAAGCGAGAAGACCCGGTGATGCTCACGCAAAGGTGCTGGCGGCGCTGGCTTCTGGGACACGACACGAACGGGAAAGGGTGCTGGCAGTGGACTCAGCCAAGAATGACATTGAAAGTTGACACATAACTTCACGTGCCTGACTCGAGAGGCGAAACGCTTCCCTGTCCTGCACCATGAGGACAGCAGGGCCGGTCGGCGCAGGAACCAGTGTGACGCGGGGTCGGGGAGGCCCAGGAGACCCCGCTGCCGCTGTGCACGCCTTACGCTCCGCTCCCAGCCGCTCCCGCATCCCGTGTGAACTGCACCTTCATCCAGTAAACTGCACCAGCATCCAGTGAACTGCACCTGCACCCCGTGTGAACTGCACCTGCACCCCGTGTGAACTGCACCTGCACCCCGTGTGAACTGCACCTGCATCCCGTGTGAACTGCACCAGCATCCAGTGAACTGCACCTGCATCCCGTGTGAACTGCACCTGCATCCAGTGTGAACTGCATCAGCATCCAGTGAACTGCACCTGCATCCCGTGTGAACTGCACCTGCACCCCGTGTGAACTGCACCTGCACCCCGTGTGAACTGCACCTGCATCCCGTGTGAACTGCACCTGCACCCCGTGTGAACTGCACCTGCATCCCGTGTGAACTGCACCTGCACCCCGTGTGAACTGCATCAGCATCCAGTGAACTGCACCTGCATCCCGTGTGAACTGCACCTGCACCCCGTGTGAACTGCACCTGCATCCCGTGTGAACTGCACCTGCATCCAGTGTGAACTGCATCAGCATCCAGTGAACTGCACCTGCATCCCGTGTGAACTGCACCTGCACCCCGAGTGAACTGCACCTGCACCCCGTGTGAACTGCACCTGCACCCCGTGTGAACTGCACCTGCATCCCGTGTGAACTGCACCTGCATCCCGTGTGAACTGCACCTGCATCCCGTGTGAACTGCACGTGCACCCCGTGTGAACTGCACCTGCATCCCGTGTGAACTGCACCAGCATCCAGTGAACTGCACCTGCATCCCGTGTGAACTGCACCTGCACCCCGTGTGAACTGCACCAGCATCCAGTGAACTGCACCTGCATCCCGTGTGAACTGCACCTGCATCCCGTGTGAACTGCACCAGCATCCAGTGAACTGCACCTGCATCCCGTGTGAACTGCACCTGCACCCCGTGTGAACTGCACCAGCATCCAGTGAACTGCACCTGCATCCCGTGTGAACTGCACTTGCACCCCGTGTGAACTGCACCCGCACCCCGTGTGAACTGCACCTGCACCCCGTGTGAACTGCACCAGCATCCAGTGAACTGCACCTGCATCCCGTGTGAACTGCACCTGCACCCCGTGTGAACTGCACCTGCACCCCGTGTGAACTGCACGTGCACCCCGTGTGAACTGCACCTGCATCCCGTGTGAACTGCACCAGCATCCAGTGAACTGCACCTGCATCCCGTGTGAACTGCACCTGCACCCCGTGTGAACTGCACCAGCATCCAGTGAACTGCACCTGCATCCCGTGTGAACTGCACCTGCATCCCGTGTGAACTGCACCTGCATCCCGTGTGAACTGCACCTGCACCCCGTGTGAACTGCAATTTCATCCAGTAAACTGCACCTGCATCCCGTGTGAACTGCACCTGCACCCCGTGTGAACTGCACCTGCATCCCGTGTGAACTGCACCTGCACCCCGTGTGAACTGCACCAGCATCCAGTGAACTGCACCTGCATCCCGTGTGAACTGCACCTGCACCCCGTGTGAACTGCACCTGCACCCCGTGTGAACTGCACCAGCATCCAGTGAACTGCACCTGCACCCCGTGTGAACTGCACCAGCATCCAGTGAACTGCACCTGCATCCCGTGTGAACTGCACCTGCATCCCGTGTGAACTGCACCTGCACCCCGTGTGAACTGCACCTGCATCCCGTGTGAACTGCACCTGCACCCCGTGTGAACTGCACCAGCATCCAGTGAACTGCACCTGCACCCCGTGTGAACTGCACCTGCATCCCGTGTGAACTGTACCTGCACCCCGTGTGAACTGCACCAGCATCCAGTGTGAACTGCACCTGCACCCCGTGTGAACTGCACCTGCATCCAGTGTGAACTGCACCTGCATCCAGTGTGAACTGCACCTGCATCCCGTGTGAACTGCACCTGCATCCAGTGTGAACTGCACCTGCATCCCGTGTGAACTGCACCTGCATCCAGTGTGAACTGCACCTGCATCCAGTAAACTGCACCTGCATCCCGTGTGAACTGCACCTGCATCCCGTGTGAACTGCACCTGCACCCCGTGTGAACTGCACTTGCACCTCGTGTGAACTGCACCAGCATCCCGTGTGAACTGCACCTGCACCCCGTGTGAACTGCACCTGCACCCCGTGTGAACTGCACCAGCATCCAGTGAACTGCACCTGCATCCAGTGTGAACTGCACCTGCATCCCGTGTGAACTGTACCTGCACCCCGTGTGAACTGCACCAGCATCCAGTGTGAACTGCACCTGCACCCCGTGTGAACTGCACCTGCATCCCGTGTGAACTGCACCAGCATCCAGTGAACTGCACCTGCATCCCGTGTGAACTGCACCTGCATCCAGTGTGAACTGCACCTGCATCCAGTGTGAACTGCACCTGCATCCCGTGTGAACTGCACCTGCATCCAGTGTGAACTGCACCTGCATCCCGTGTGAACTGCACCTGCATCCAGTGTGAACTGCACCTGCATCCAGTAAACTGCACCTGCATCCCGTGTGAACTGCACCTGCATCCCGTGTGAACTGCACCTGCACCTCGTGTGAACTGCACCAGCATCCAGTGAACTGCACCTGCACCCAGTGAACTGCTCCCGCACCCCGTGTGAACTGCACCTGCATCCTGTGAACTGCACCTGCATCCCGTGTGAACTGCACCTGCACCCCGTGTGAACTGCACCTGCACCCCGTGTGAACTGCACCTGCACCCCGTGTGAACTGCACCTTCAGCCACAACCACCCGCAGTGTGGAGCGGCCTCCTCTGAAGGCCACGCCGCACAGCTGCCGGACAGAAACGTCAGTGACTGAACAGCTAAGCCAGGCTCCAGCCACACCCTCGCGTTATCAACATGTACCAGAATCACTAATTGCAGAAACAAAAACAAATAATGGCATGAAGGGCATGACAGTTTATTTTTAAAAAATTGTACCACACTGATCTTCATCACCAGCATATACATTATGATGGCTTTTTCTCTTGGGCATTAACATTGCAGTATTTTCATATACTGAAATGTCTCAACGGGACCAAGAACGTTAGAGAAGGAAAGATCTTGGGTGAACATGAACAGAACCCTGGCGGCCACCCCGGGGGCCCACTGAAACCTCCCGAGGCAGAGGCACTGCACTGTCGTCTTCCCGAGGAACGGAGTTCCCTCTGGGGCCAGCACCAGGAGCCGCACCCCCGGCTTCAGTTCCCATGACGTGAGCTATGGCCACCCTGGCCCAAGCCCACGCGTCAGACACTTCCGATCCTTTCCACGCTGTCAGAGCACAAGTTTTGTGATTTTACTTAAAAAAAAAAAAAAATCAAACCATCATCAAAATAAAGAGGCAAATAAAACTGATTTTCAAATCATTTGAAAAGCATAGTGCTTATTTGTCCAATATAGATCCAAACTTAAATGCTATAATTATCATCTGAAAACTTCTGCCATAAAATTAACATTTATACACATATGGATTTTGTTTATCAAACGACATTTTGCAATCCATAAGAGAAGATGACTTTTTAGAGAACAATGCGTTTGGCTCCAGTCCCCGTCTGGAGCAGAGCGTGATGTTGAATCTGGCTCGAAGTGATCGAAGGGACAACATTTTGATCAAAATTATGATACCCAGATCTTAAAAATTCAACCCATGTGAGATTACTTTCAAGAGTAAGTGTGCTGTTGAGTAACCGCTTCAATCACTACCCTTTTCCTTCATCAGTGAGACTCACCAGTATTTCACACTGACCCCTTCGCTTCCGAGCTACCCTTGCAAAGCCCAGGGCTTTCTGAGGCGGCTTAAGTCTCGCTTCATAGAAACAGTAGATACTTGAACCTTTCAGTGACAACTTTACATCTGTAAACTCAAGAATCACATTATTTAGCTCAGCAACTATGAGAAACATTGAGATTTTGGCATTTCAAGCCAGAATCTCTTTGTGCTTTTTAAATGAAGCTGCTTTATGACTCTTTTTGGTATTTATCAGCCATTGTATTTCCCTTACAATAATAAAAGAATACATTTAGGATCGTTTTAAGGTCCAATGTCCTGGGGGCTATCAGCACTCAGACAGTGACTTCGGCGTCTGGAATGGCAGAACTTGCTTGTGGTCCCTCCTCAGATCAGCACTACTTCTCATCCCGTGGAACACTGACTTGCACACACATCCCTGAAAAGTGTTTGAGTAAGTAAACGAGTGAATCACAGTGGAGTCTCGATCGGTTAACAGTGTAGATCCATTTAAAAATCACACTGAAGTAGAAAAGAAAACCTTCAAGCTAAAGGAACAGAGAAGGACACCCTCCTGGGGAGCAGAGCCGAGTTGCTCCCCGAGTCTACTGCGACCCTGACTGCCTAGCCTCCTGCTGTCCGCGCGGTGAGACTGCTCATGGGACCCTGCGCACCGGGTCTCCAGGACACTGGAGTGCGGGGCTGCCTCACCGGAGCATCAGGGGAACACAGCAGCACCACCTCCTCCCCTACCGGGCGTCAAGTCCCGGACCAGCTCAGGCCCCTCTGCTGCGCTCACAGGACAGGAGACAGCCTGCCAGCGGTGCCAGCCGCCCCCGCGCCGCCCGCGCCCACGTGCGGTTACCAGCAGTCTGCCCCTGTGTGCACTGGCCTTTCGCTCTTTCAATCAGAAAGCTGTGGTTACTTAAAAGAAGGTCAGGGGGAGAAATGAAAAACCAAGAGTCTAAAGGCACAAAGTCGCATAGCTGCTCTAGTTGGAGTTTGTAAACAGAGAACAGGCTGAATTTCGGGAGCCCTACATGTGAGGGGGAAGGCATCGGAGCAGGCTGTGCCCCGCCGGCTCTCCAAGACCCGCACGGTCCTGAGGTCTACCCCGTACGCACTGAAATACCCATCCTTCCAAAAGCAATAAGGCAAATAGTATAATCATTATTCCAAAAGTTACAATGGTAGTGTAGGCATACATAGTACAACTTAGTTACATGTGCGGTACTGTCTCTACTACGTGACCACTGACTGTCCCCCTACGAAGTATACACCGGCCCGGGCTCAGCACAGACCCGGCCTTGCACCGCTGGCCGCTGGCAATGGCTCTTTGGCAGCAGGTTCGTTCTGCTGCAGGGATTGCTCTTGCACTGGAAAAGCCCACAATCCGATGTCCAGTCATTAAACACCATCATATTTGTGAAGAGCTTCTTCCAACTTCTGCGTCACTTTTTGGAAAAATATTATCTGTTGTTGTAAGAAATGCTGCATCTGTGATTTGAAGTCTCTCACTCGGATCTGGTGGAAGTGGTGGATCTCGGCCAAGGTGGCGAAGGAGATGGTGTTGCAGCGGTCCTGGATGCCGTCCGCCTTCTGGACCTCCATCTTCCCCTCCTCCACGTGGCGCCGGCTCTCCTTCACTTTGGTAAGAGCTCCTGCGGTGAGAACACAGCGATTAGAGACACGTCCACGCGGGTCCGACGCACAGCCACACCGTGCACAGACCGGGCAGTCCGCGCCTGCACTGTTTGGAAGCCCTTGAATTTAGAGGATGACAGCAACTACCTACTGACAAAGGAAGGAATCGGTCAACTCTGAAAACACCTCCGTTGCTGCAATTTCCTGATTGAAACTAGCATTTGCCATTGACCAACGGACTACATTGTGCTTCATCTCTTCCAAGTAGAAATCCTACAGAAACCGGGAAGCTCCGCACTCCCCACACCCAGAGAGAAGGTGGGCACAACACCGTGCGGAGCGGGGCGGAGCCGGGCTTACAGCTGTTTGCACACAGAGGAACACAGGGATGAATAAAAACGCAAGAATGAATCGCTTCACGTACTCACAGCTGTAAACCTACTTCTGCCCACCCTGTACATAAGTTTTCTCTATAAAAACAGTACCTCAAGGTGCAAGCCCGCTTCCTGGAAGGACCCCCAGGTGTCACTGAGGCTCCTGAACTGGACCCGGAAGCACATGGCACCACCGCAGCTGTTCCAGAAGCCAGGCCCTGCCGTGAGGGCTGCCCTTGGCCACGCTGGCATAAGTGACGATCACGCCTGCTCTGGCTCCACAGTCCGCCAGGACACCCATACCCGGGGCACAGGGCCGGGCGGTGAGAACTGCCACTTTTCCTTCAGGCTGCGCGGATGCATGGGTTTCGAGTCTGCCCTACTGATTGATGATCTGGGAAGGAAGCCAGAGGTGCCACAGCCTCTTGCCAAGAAATGTCACGCGAGGTGTACGCGAGGGGGAGGGAGGAGCTGGGACCCAGCAGATGCCACGTGAGGCAGACCTTCCCCCAGAGTAGTCACAGGGAATGAGCGACAACAAAGCTCCCATCCCCTGAACACAGCCAGCTCAGAACTCAGGCTTCCTGACTCCTCCATCCTGCACCATCTACTAACCCAGGGGAAAGAAAGACAGAAACGTCTAGGACACCTGGCTTGGCAGTCCGAGAACACGGTCCTGGGGGGAAGGAGGAAGTGGGGAGGCTGTTTCACAAATGTTCAGTTTCAGCCAGTGATGAAATACACAAGGGAAAAGCCCTGTTTCTCAATCTCTTCAGATCTCCTACAAAATGCTATGGAGCAAACGCAGTATTAAATAAAGCCCTTAGACTAGGCTTAGAGGTTAAACTGTGCTTTTTTAAGACACAGCTCAAAGAACACATCATTTAAAACCCACAGAAAACAAATGGTATACATGTGTGTGCATTTTCATTTTTTTTCTAAATGCGGTTTTTTAAAAAATATTTTTTCTTTATTGATTGTTAGAGAGAGAGGAAAAGAGAAATAGACACATCAATGAGCGAGAACATCGACTGGCTGCCTCCTGCATGCCACCCACTGGGGATTTGGCCCACAACCTGGGCATGTGTCTTGATTGGGAATCGAACCAGCGCCCTCTTGGTGCAGGGTCGACGCTCACCCACTGAGCCACGCTGGCCAGGCTGATCTTTTTTTTAATCCTCACTCGAGGACTTGCTTAGAGAAAGAAAAGAGGGGAGAGGGCGAGGGACAGGGAGAGGGAGGGAGAGAGAAACATTGATACATCAATTGGTTGCCTTCCGAATGTGCCCTGACCAAGGATCAAACCAACAAGCTTCAGTACACGGGGCGACGTCAACCAACTGAGCCACTCTGGCCAAGCTAAATACGAGCTTTAAGGGAAAAGCAGAGAGCCACTTCCACGTAACCCCACGACCGAGATGTGGGGTGCGCTCCATAGAGGGGTCACGTCATTTGCATTAACACAGCTTCAGGAGACACCCTGTACTCCAAAAGTTTGCTACTTTTTATACAAAAACTGAAGTTGAAAAGACCTGAAAAGCATGAGGCAAAACTCAAGGAAAATTTTTCAAAATCATGACTAAGAATAGGGAATTCTGAAATACCGGTTTAAAATGGAAAGAACCCAGAGAGGGAGGTGGGGACAGAAGTCTCAGGGGAGCTGAGCGGCTGGGTCTGCCTCAGACTGGACGGGAGGGGCAAGCCCGCGGTGGGGACCGGCCGAGCGCGGCCATTGGAATGGGTTCCGGGGCGCTGCTGGCGGTCGCTGCCTGCGTCGGCGACGTTCTGCACGATCACTGGTTCCGGGTTGGAGCCTGGCCTTCCGCTCCGGAGAAAGAATGGGGTCCGCTCCGGAGAATGGGGTCCGGCACGGAGGGAGGAGCTCAGGTCGGCCGGAGCCGCGTGGCTGTCAAACGCCAAGTGAGACCAGATTCTCAGAAGCCGCATTCTGCTGCGCAGGGTGCAGACGCACCTCTACAGAGTGCAGCCTAAAATCAGCCAGCCGAGGCTCCCCGCCGCGCCCCGCCGCGCCCCGTCCGCGTGCCGAGCGGGAGCAGCAGCCGAGGTTAGCGCCCTGGGGCCCAAGGCCTTCGGCACTTAGCACCTTCGCGCTCTGAGTGGACCACTTCAGGAGGCGGGAGACCCTGAGCCTGGCTTTTCTCCCAAATGTAAATGTATGTGGGAAATAGACGTTGCTCTCGTCAAAGCCCCAACGGTCCTGCGGGCGAGAACGTGAACTTGAACCTTCGGGAGGACCTCATGTGCGTGGGGCACGGAGCTACGACAGGAAAGTTCAGACCCGGGCGCGTCCGCGTCCCCACCTCCTGCAAGCTCCCGGGGAGGCCACCTGGCACAGCTCAGAGGACAGGCACACCAGCGCGACGCAAAGTGAGGCACGACAGGAAGGGAAGAAATTCTGCATGAAAGCAGACTTGTGTCCCAGGGAAACGCTCAGAGAACCTGGGGGGGGGGGGCGAGCTGAGGACGGGGTGGGGGTGGCAGGGGACAGGGCATGCCGGACACTTTCCATACACGACCTCTAACCCTGCTGCGCCCTTACCTTGAGGACACCGAGAAAGCTACTCAACCTCTCTGAGCCCCAAAGCCCGCACCCCAGGTAGCCAGGAAGAGGTGGAGATGACGACTCCAAAGCACACACGACAAATATTCAGGAAGGCATGAGCGTGGATGGGCAGAAAAGCAAGAAGGGCCTAGGTGAGCAGGGTGCTAGGGGCCAGGCTGGGCGGAGGAGACTCAGCGGCCCCCCACCTGTGCCGGGCTCCCTCACCTTCCTTGCAAGGTCCCTGCCTTTTATTTGACACGCAATTCCGAAGCCTGTGAGTAGGTAAAAGAAACTCTACTGGCTTTGAAATTCCCCTCGGGAACCTCACAGATCTCATGCAGTTCACCAATTGTGCCTGTCAGTCCACTAGTACTTATAAGACGTCTGAGTCCCCCGTCTTTGTAGGAACACGGATGCCGCAGAACAAATCACTGAAGCAGCAGCACAGGAATCTGAACCCAAGCTCACGTGGAGGAAGGGGCTGTGTGGGCCCCGCTCTGCTCCCCGACTTTGGAAGAGGATCTACACCGACTAACATAGGACCCCTAGGAGTACATGGGCTTTGCTCTGGTACAGGTGGGTGTCCAGGCAAAAATCATTTTGCAAACTGGAGATGAGGAGGGTAAGCACCCAAAAGCCAAACCTACTTGAAGTTGCGGTTAACCCACTCAGTGCGATTCGAACCCACTGGCATGATGTACTGGGACAGCAGGAGCAGGGAGACAGGCAACACAAGACTGTTTTTAAAAAGAAACACAGTTCCTGTTGTAAGGGCTGAGTGATTTCTGAGGGGACAAACCTACTTGCCTGAAACAATTAAGGACCTATACAGTTTGAGTCGATGATCCTCAAACTGGCAATTACCTGTACACATTTCTACACTTCACATATTTTCATAGTTAAGATTTTAACTATCACAAGAAGGGCAGAGAGAGCCCGATGACCCATCAGGTCCAGTCTCTAAGGAGTGGGAGGCTGGAGAAAGCACACTGCCGGGCGCAGACAGATCCTGTGCTTCCAGGTTCTTCCACAGTCATCTGCAGCTACAATGTAACCAGCTGCAAAGCTTAACACAGCATTATGGCGTCTTTTAAGCATTCTCTCAGCCATACTGCGTTTTTACCAACCCAAGAGGAGTGTAAACAGAAGCTAAAAATGTTGCCCAAAATCTAAAGAACAAAGGGAACATACACTTTATTTTAATCTGGGGGAATCCAAAATTGGCAAGGTCTCCAAAACCTCTACTTCCCAAGTGGCTAAAGGAGGAGGAGTCCAGCTGCCCCTGCCGGCCACGCCCCTCGTCAACAAGGCCACATTGCTTTCAAAACAGAACAGGGGCAGCAATTCCACTGTCAACTCGGGGGAAAGGGGTCACTGTCAGATTAAACAAAAGACCCCACAATGCTCACACGGGTACGGCAACATCTTTAAAGTAAAAGAAAATGAAAAGGAAAAAAAAAAAAAAACCCCAACAGTGACCAAAGGGAAAAACAGTTGAGAATGGGAATGCCAAGCCCATAACAGGCTGTTTCCTGGGCTGGTCTCTGGAACGATATGTGAGCCCGGAAGATCTCATTATGAAAACACGTGTGGGCCAGTATTAAAGCCTGAGATTAACTAAGAAAAGGCTGACAATACAGACCAGCGTGAGTATCTCCCGAAAGAGGAGAACACTTACAATTCAGAAGAAACACAACTTACCGGATGGGAACACTTGAAAACCTCCCCCCTCCCCCAGTTACAGGGCTGGAAAGAAATGCCCGGATGGCCGGAGTCCAGAAGGCAGGGCCGCAGCGTGGCCCTCTGCTTCCGCCGCGCCCATCACTGCGCTCCGTCCGCACCATCGGCTTCCGCCGCGCCCATCACCGCGCTCCGTCCGCACCATGGGCTTCCGCCGCGCCCATCACTGCGCTCCGTCCGCACCCTCGGCTTCCGCCTGCGCTCCGTCCGCACCCTCGGCTTCCGCCGCGCCCATCACTGCGCTCCGTCCGCACCCTCGGCTTCCGCCGCGCCCATCACTGCGCTCCGTCCGCACCATGGGCTTCCGCCGCGCCCATCACCGCGCTCCGTCCGCACCATG